CCCGGCCCCGGCGCGCCGGGCTACCGCTGCCCCGAGCCGCAGTGCGCGCTGGCCTTCGCCAAGAAGCACCAGCTGAAGGTGCACCTGCTGACGCACGGCGGCCCGCAGGCCCGGCGGCCCTTCAAGTGCCCGCTGGAGGGCTGCGGCTGGGCCTTCACCACCTCCTACAAGCTCAAGCGGCACCTGCAGTCGCACGACAAGCTGCGGCCCTTCAGCTGCCCGGTGGGCGCCTGCGGCAAGAAGTTCACCACGGTCTACAACCTGAAGGCGCACATGAAGGGCCACGAGCAGGAGAGCCTGTTCAAGTGCGAGGTGTGCGCCGAGCGCTTCCCCACGCAGGCCAAGCTCAGCTCGCACCAGCGCAGCCACTTCGAGCCCGAGCGCCCCTACAAGTGCGACTTCCCGGGTGAGCGGGGTCGCGGGCGGGCGGGGCCGAGGTGCGGGGCCGCGCTCCGGGGCGGCGCCAGCCGGCCTCTGCAGCGCTTCGGCCGGGGTTACGCGGGCCAAGAAGGGGCCCGCGCCCAGGAAAGACGCCCGCCCGTGTTGGGGTCTAGTTCTTCCAGGCGGCTAGATTTGAAGTGTGGACCTGCGGGGTTTGCACACCCAGGTAGCTGAAATAACCGTAGCTGCCCGCGGAGGAGGCAGCAGATCTCCCTTAAGGTGTTTCCGTTCACTTAATGAAAGTGATAACGGCTCAGCGTGGAAGAGTCGGGTTAGGAGTCCGGTCTGTATTTCCCTTAGTCGTGTGGTTTAGAAATACTCTGTCGTCGTGTGTTGGTGGGGTACAACACTCTCCTTACTAGAGGAACAAAGGTGAATGTGGCTAAGTACAACGTGTTACACCGAAAGACTGGTCACAGGTGTGTGACACATCCATTTTTGTGTCTTTTATACTTTATGTGCGTTACACTTCCCACTTCCCTGAAGTTTTTAGAAATCCTTTTCATTTTGTGAATTTTAAAAACTTCTCGTTTTACAGATAAAGATAATGAGGCCGAGGGTGTGTATAAAATCCACTGCGGGTTCTTCTTCCACCGTGTTTACCTGCACTGGCTGGGAGTGTAAGACTCCCAACACAGTGAACTTTTCCCTGGGTTAGGCGGGTTGGGTCCTATAAGAAGGACAGACTTATCCAGAAGAACAAGGGAACATTCCTGGCCTGGAAGGCTAGAGAACAGGGTAGGAGCTGGCCTGGGGGTTGGGTGAACTGTAGAGTGCTGTGGGCTGTGGGGAGGTTATGGGAGGGCCTTCCCTGTCCTGTTTGTTAAAACGTACTTCAGAGGGCTGGGTATGTAGCTCAGTAGAAGAATGATTGCCTAGCATGCACAAAATGCCAGCAAAAACAACCCCCTCCACACACCCAAACATGCTTGAGCAAGCTCTTAGTGTACCTCTTGCATGCATATTAACATATACATGCACTGCTCTCCTAATAGTAATATGTACTGGAATGTAATGTGTGCATTATAAAGTATGCTCAAACGTAGGGATTTTTGAGTTGTGTGGAGAATATTAACAGGTTCTCATATTCTTCTCACATGCCTTTGAATGATTTTGTGCATTCCTCTTTGTGAAAAACATGGCTTTAGACTACTGACTCAGCCTTTTTCAGCTGTACACTTTTTAACTACATGTTTATGAAAGTCTCATGATGCTTGTAGACTCTCTGGTAAAAAGGACGTATTTTTTGTTTACTCCTTGAGAGATATGGCTCTGGTTTGCTTTAAGGCATGAGGGTCCTCTGAGGGTATTATGTTAGCTGATCACTGGGGCAGGAGAAGGACTAGTGAAGCGCCATTCAGTGATCAAGGCAAAAGTTTCTTCAGGGCCTGCGCCAGGGAGGGGCTGTGGGAATGGTGGTGGTGGTGGTGGTGGTTCAGGTAGGAGAGATTGAAGAAGTAAGATCAAAGAGACATGGTTATTGATTGGTGCACCTGGAGTGAGGCTTCTCGATAAGGTAGAGTATATCTGTGTTCAGATTTACCTGCCCAATTGTGTGAACACACTAAAGCTCAAAATAGGGAAGGCAGGGAAACTAGATTGAGGCCCAAAAGTACGACTTAAGGGTGTTTAGGAAGATTTCTGTTAGGGAAAGTAGGGTTCCTTGGGCTTCTACTTTTGTGCAGTTCATAACTATGTGGTTATTTGCAGGCACACTGATAGCTGCAACAGAGACGCCTGTTAAAGATCTTGTGACTTCATATCTTCCACCCTGTTTGAGCACTGAACTTTCTTCTCAAAAGAATATTGATAAAGTGTAGGCTTCTGGGATGGTGGTACAGCTAGGGGCTGAGGTGGAGGTAGAGAAAAAAGCCAGATAAGTAAAGATTACAAAGCAGAACACTGAGGAACTGGGCAAAAGGACAAAGAGAAGCTAGATAACAAAATGTGGGGCTGGCAGTTACAGAGGAGAAAATTCATAAGTATAGAGGATGTAGCATTATGCCAAAGGGGTGAAAAATATTATTATCAAGAAGGTTTATAACCTTTCAAAACTCAACTCCACCAGACAAAATCTTGTTCATTAGTTATTAATTTCTCTTCTTTTCTTATGCCCCAGACAAGTAATATTGACATTTGAGTTGGAAGGTACATCTAAAGCATGCAAGATCAGTACCACAGAACTGGCAAGCAGATAGCTGTGCTTGGAAATCTTTTTCTTGATCAGTTGCTCCATCTCCAAGTTGCATTGCAACAGGTAGCCTGCATGTGCCTATGGGCTACCATCAGCCACTCCTGCTGTGTAACATTCATGTTACAGACTTTTTAGATGGGGCTTCTGAGTCACTTTTTACCTTGTTTGCTTCAAGGTGAACAGTGTCCTGGGTTGTAACTAACATTAACTGCATTGTATGATTATTTTTTTCCACACTGTGAGCAGAGTTTGTGTTTTCTTGTGCAGGCTGTGAGAAGACATTCATCACAGTGAGTGCCCTGTTTTCGCATAACCGAGCCCACTTCAGGGAACAAGAGCTCTTTTCTTGCTCCTTTCCTGGATGCAGCAAACAGTATGATAAAGCCTGCCGATTGAAAATTCACCTAAGAAGTCATACAGGTAATGGGCTAGAGAACGCATCATCATTTGGACGCAAAACTTATCTCTGTGATAGCTGTTGTGTTTATAATTATGCCGTGGAACTTTTCTCTTTCAAGGTGAAAGACCATTTATTTGTGACTCGGACAGCTGTGGGTGGACCTTCACCAGCATGTCCAAACTTCTAAGGCATAAAAGGTAATCCTTACATTTTGTTATGTATTATCAGCTTTGAAAATGGTTTGTCAGTCAGTAGGAGAAACCTATAGATAGAAATATATAGTGGTTTTTGTTTTGTTTTTCTTTTAGTTATTTAAAAAGAGCTCAATGTAGTTACTGGGAAAATCTGAATACTAGAAAGAGAGAATTACTCAAAAATCTCTGTATTTTTTTATACTTAATTGGTATAGTTCCTATATAGTTACTTTTTTTTGATGTAGTTCCTATACAGTTACTGTTTTTTAACATTATAGAATTAAGTTTTCCTCATATCATTGGAAACTTTTCTTGTTGATAGTGACGGTCTTAGGGTCCCATGTCCAGGTGACAACCTTTACATATGCATCTTACTCCACTTTCATAGCAGCTGTGACACTGATAGTTTTCTCTCTGTTCTACAGTGAGACTCAGAGTGTGAGTGGTTTATCTAACCTTGCATAGTTGGAGTCTGAAGGGTTTAATAAAAAAAAGTATTATTTAGGAAGTCACAGTCTGTACAAGTCGACCTAAGAGTGTCTTTTAGCATTGCAGCCCATGTTCTGTGTACACTTCACATGGCTGGCTGTGCCTGGAAAAGCTTGTTTACTGTGGGGATTTCTAAACAGTTTTATCAATACGTTTGGAACTCAGTTGTTCTGAGATTGAAACAGCACTAATTGTTCTGTGTCTAACTCTAGGGCTGGCTTACTCATTAAAGTGGAATTTCTAATTATGGAGTAGCTAAATTGCAAACTTGATGTGGACTGAGGGCAGATTAAAGACTTTCTGAAATGTACAGATCATTATTTTTAAATGGAAAGAACTTGTAGTTTGGAATATTTTGCAGAGTTTTAAAAGATCATCCCTGAGGCCTTGTGAATTGTGTGAGTAATCACCTTCCTTGTTTTTCTGCTCTGGCAGGAAACATGATGATGACCGGAGGTTCATCTGCTCTGTGGAAGGCTGTGGCAAATCATTCACTAGAGCAGAGCATCTGAAAGGCCACAGCATAACCCACCTAGGCACAAAGCCATTTGAGTGTCCTGTGGAAGGTACAGTTTAAAATGTTGCTTTGAGCTGTTAACTACATACCACTGTAATATTCATGGTATAAATTTAAGTTGTTTTAAAGGTTAAGTTTTAGTTGCTTAAAGACAAGATAAGTGTAACTTACACTGGTATATTCATTTGGCTTGTTGAGTGAGTTGCACATATTGTCTTGGGAGTTGGAAAGAGTACAGACCAAATTACTGCCAGTTTACCTCTGGCCCCGCCATGTATTATATTTGGGGCTCTGGTGGTTATGAGAATTAGGTGAAATAATGTGGGGGGAAGAAAAACTTCTTTATGCATTTGGCATATAGCTTGGACTCACTAAATGGTAGGTAGCTATTCTTGTTGCAGTTGGACAGAAGTAAAGCTAGGTTGACGTTTTTAAAGGGTTGTTAGTAACTGTTTTTCTTTAAAATGCTGAAGTCATAGATCATTTCCAAAAATCTGCTGTGGGATCACATCTGTGCGAGCCCTACTGTAGTGTTGCAGGTGTGCTAGGGGGCTGCAGGCCAGGACAGGTCATATTGTCCTATAAGTCCCTGGCCTTAGCTGCTTCTCTGGGCCTTGGTTTCCTTAACTGGAGAAGGAGATAATAAAACTCATTGAAAGCTGAGGCCAGTTTTTGAACACAATACACACAATATAAGTGGTGTAACCCAAGCCACAATTCTTCCATCAGCATTCAGCTGGGAGTACATATGGGTGAGCAAACAACATGCAGGCTGTGGTGGAAACACAGAAGTTTCCCCCATACTTCCTTTGGGGTGTAGAATGGCCCCTCCAGTCAGCCTCAGGAGATGGAATAGGAGCCAATCCATAGGAGTGGATTTTGGAGGTAGAAAGACCAATATGGGAGAAATCTTTAAAAGGTATAAGAGCAGCAAGCCGAGTGCGTAAAGTGATGGGATCATGTTCAAGTTGCACATCAGCCTAGCTTTGTGACTAAAAGTGGATAGGCCCACAGAGATATTGTAGGCATCCTGGGATGATGAATGTGCTTGGGCTAGGGGTTAGAAGGAAGCAAGAAGGGAGAAAAGCATATTAATGACAGAGGTAGGAGTTAGAATTAATAGTACATGGTGACAGCTTTGGACCCAAATGGAGGTTGAGGGAGAGGCAGTGTCTTAGCTGAGGTCAGAATGTGGGGGCTAGTTTGGAAGTGAGGGCTGGTTTGGACTTGGTGCATTTTATTTACCTATAGCTTTGTAAGTTCAAATGCTCAGAAGATGGGGATATTTGTGCTACAGGAACTTGGTGAGCTGGTTGAGCTAAGGAGTGAAGCAGATAGCACATGAATCATCATTTAAGTCATAGAAGTGGATGGACTTCTTAGTCAACAGTGAAAAGCAAAGAAGCAGTCTAGGGTGGTAATTAAAATTGTGAATTCTGCCTGGATTGAAGTCCCAAGTGTGTCACTTAAGTAGCTCTGGGACCTGTGACAAGCAGCTTAACCTTCTGTACCCTTTCCTATTTCTAAAGTGAATAAAACCTCCTAAGGTTATGAAGAGGGCTCAGTTAGTAACTTCTGAGCATGTGAAAACATTATGTCAATTGCCATTACTAGTTTTTGTGGTTTTTTGTTTTTTAAGCCTACAATACCTCTGGGACTCTAGGTTCAGGTGGAAAAGTGGGACGGGTGTGGCAGGATCCTTGGTGCAGGTGATACTGAGCTGAGAAGGAGGATGTGTAGAAAAGGCTCAGCCCAGACTACCAGGGCTTTGTCAGGTTGGGGTCACCTACAGGGTCTGTAGGGTTAACTACAGGTTCTGGGGGATAAGTGAGGCAGAGTTCTGCTGCAGGGCCCCGAAGGATGGCCCGAGTGTGAGGCAGAAGACTATAACGTGCCGATACCTCTTATAGCAGTGACTTGGGGAAGGGCAGTAGCTGGCTGCAGGGGAGGGCGTTTGGTTTTGAAAAGCTCTCAAGGAGCGTGAAGCAGTCCCAAAGTTGAGGTGCCAGTAGAAGGAAGCTGACAGTGACAGGAGAGAAAGGGATGAGGCATCAGTGCTTGGCTGAGTGCAGTAGTTGGAGAACACTCTCCATGAGGCAGTGGAGAGGAAATTAATCTGGTGGAAGGATGGATCCCAGGGCCCTTCTCTGATCAGCTGAGTCAGTCCCTCTGTTAAGACTGACTGTGGCCCGTCCTCAGGGTGCGGGTGTAACTGCAGGAGCCCAGAGTCTGCCAATAGGCTGTTGTAAGAAGAGAGTCAGTGAAGTAAGATAGAGTAAAGACCTTGGGTGTCTCTGAGGGTAATTTTGAACTTTATTTCATTCTCGAATGAAGCTTTGAACTTTTTTCCAGGTCAGGCTGTATAGATTAGTATAGCTATATTTGGTCCTTATCACCCTAGGAGGTTAAGTATTACACCCATTTTACAGAAAAGAAAAAGGAGTTCTGCAAAGGATAATTTACTTGACTAAATCTATACAACTAATAGGTAACTGAGGTAAAATTGGAATCTATTCACCCTTGCCATTGCGGGGCAGCCCTGTTGGGCTGGAACACCTTTCTGCTGTGCTGGGGCTCAGCGACTTCACCGCTACCTGCTTGTGAGATCTTTTTGCTGTCTTAGCAGGTATCCTGTTTCCTCTGTTTTTAGAGCAGCTCATTGTTTTAGCACTGATTTTATTTTGCCCTTCATTATAAGAGCTGACTGTTCTCAGATCCTTCCACATCACAAGCCTTTGGCTGCAAGAATTCCACTTCCCCTTTCTGTGTCTGTATGGAACAGAGTTCTAGTAGGAAATCAGGGCATGAAGGGAAAGTGGTTGTAATTTTTAATTTGTCCTGTTTTCCCTCTGGTGCTTTTTTGCAGATTGAAAGAGCAGGGAAATGCCAGCTCTGGCTGCACTCATGCCCCTGACTTAGGAACACTTCGCCAGTCTCTGGGCATCCGCTTCACAGTAGTGAAATGAAAGAAACTGGTTTTGATGATCTGTTGAAGTAGTTCTGACTCTCAATATTACAGGGCTGCAGTTCTGTGGTGCTAGCTTAGTAAGAGTGACTAGTATATACTCTTTGCAACGGAACATTGGTGGAGCTGCTTTGAATTAGTCTGCCCAGCAGCTCCAGTAGTGGGAAGAGAAACAGGCAGAGTTAGCTCAGCCAGAGTCACACATCTCAGCCATGGCAGACACAAGCCTTCAGACTTCCTCTGAAGTTCTTTGGCCTTTTAAAAACAACTTGTTTCGGATTTCCACTCCTTGTGATACTACTTCTAGGGCTGGTCAGTGTTCATCCCTTGCCAGTGACCAGTGCTTGGGAATATAATCTCAAGATTCTGATCTGATGAGGAATTGTTCTTTGTTATTGGTTCCTTGGCTTCCTCAAGTCTAACTCATTCCTCTCTGTTCCAGGGTGCTGTGCTAGGTTCTCCGCTCGCAGTAGTCTGTACATTCACTCTAAGAAGCACCTTCAGGATGTGGGTGCTCCAAAAAGCCGCTGCCCGGTGTCCAGCTGCAACAGACTCTTCACTTCCAAGCACAGCATGAAGGCCCATGTGGTGCGGCAGCACAGCCAACGCCAAGGTCTGCATTTTATATCCCTCCGCTGCAAAGATATGTGAGCCTGGTGCTCATGAGAAAGCAGAAATAATGCTGTTCTTTCTCACCTCCTTTCTCAGTTGTCCAGACTATAAGGTCAGAGCCCGTGGGTTTTGGCACTGAGATTAGTGGCCTCTTTTGCACTCTCTTCCTACCACTTTGTTACTTCTTACTCTTCCCCGGTCCTTGAAGTGCTTTCCTTGAGAGTGTTCATTCTTTCGTTTGATTGGTTTTTCCCTAACATACATTCCTTAAATCCCTAGCATATGTCTCCTGCCAAGACCTTTGTTCTAAATTCTGAACCTGCCCTCTAGTATCTCTGTGTTCTCTTCTTTTTATTTCCCAACTCACTTTTATTTCTACTGCGCACTCAAGCCTGTGTCCTTGCTTCTGCTGTACAGTTGATTTTGTAGTGTGGAAGACTGTTCCTTTGGGAGGCAAAAAGTTCCCAGATCTGAGCAGAGTTGTGTTTCAGGAATGGGACTGAATGCCAGAGAAGGAGGATTAGAGAGACACCATGAAAGAGGTCTAGGAGCACTGAACAGAAAGGATTTTGAGCATATCAATAGCTGTCATTTGGTACTTTATGTGAGACCTACCTATCTAGGCCTTATCCATAGTCATATGGGCAAGATGTTGAAGGTGTCTGGGCAGGAGCAATGGCTGCCTCTCTTCTAGAGCACTCCTATAGACCTTGCTCTCTGGGACATGGTGGCATTGCTGCCTGTGGTCCTAATGGCTGGGGACCTAATTTAGCTGAAGAATTACTTCTGCTCAGAGTCCATGGAAGCTGTGTACGTTACCAACGTACTGGCTGGGGAAGTCCTAATTTAGCTGAAGAGTTACTTCTGCTCAGAGTCCATGGAAGCTGTGTACGTTACTAACCAGTCCCCCCTTGTCATGACCTGTATGACAGGCAGCACTGTGGTGGAGGCAGAGCACCACCCTTGGAGATCATCCCCTTCCCAGTAAGGAGCGCAGCCAAGGGAACAGGTCTTTGAGCCCCATTTCCCTCACCTTATAAAATAAGAAGTTTGAGTAGCTCTTGGAATGAATGCCTTGTTCAAGTGCCTACTTATGTACACTATGTACACTTATGTACTCTGTGTGCATTTAGCTGCTCTGTGGAGGTTTGTGTCATTCCTCTGATTTCTTCTGATCCTCTTTAGAAGTGTTTGCTTAGTCTTTTTCTCTTGGTCTCAGGCATTTAGACCTCCTGCAGTTCACAACAGTTGCCCATTTTGCTTTGCATTTAAAGAATTGCCCTTCTTGCTTCATGAGTGTCTTGAGATCAAGGGGAGTATGTCTCCTACTTAGTGCATGTAGAAGATGTCAGAGAGTATCACCTTTGCTCACAGAGTTTCTCAGTCACCAGGGCCCCTGCTGTTGTTCCTGACATTTCCTCTCAGAGTGCACCTCTTCCTTTTCCTAACCTGGGTGACTTAGAGGCCAGCAGAAGCTCAAGATTGTTCTAGATGAACCTTCCTAAACTCTAGTTGGATATGAGTCCCTCTTAGTTGCTTTTGGAAAGCCAAGTGTATACTGGAATTTAAATGTACGTTGGCTTATTTGTATCATTCTTCCTGTCAGGCAGAAGAATAGGTACCACAGTCCTTGCCTGGTACAAAATAAGCACTCAGGATCATCTGGTATCTATGGGATCATGCCAGGACTTTGATGAGGTGTTTCAGTAGGAACTGCTTGAGCTGGAATTTGAGCTGATAATCTGTGCACCTCACAGTTGCATGATGTAACTATTCACATTAGGTGCTGTACTAGCATTTAGTGGTTTTTTTCACGGGTGTCATTGCATATGACAGTTCTCCAGGTAATGTTTGTAGAATTAATAAAATGAAAAATCAGAAATTAAATCAGTATATGTAGTCACACTGAGATTATTCTTAATTTCACAGGGAGCCAAATTCTTGTGATAGGCAAGGCAGTTCGTGGAAAATTTTGAAAAAATGAATTTTTCAATTTCACTTTCTATAAAGACTCAACTCCCATTTCCTTTCAGAGTATTCTGTTGGTTTTAGGACATTTACTGATGAGACTTTGAAACACTATGACAGCTAAAGAAGATACACAAACTTTTTTTTAAGGCAGGGTCTTCAGGGTCTTGCTGAATTGCCCAGGTTGGCCTTGAACTCAAAGTCTTCCTGCCTCATTCTCCCAAGTAGCTGGAATTGCAGGCATATACCACCATGCTCAGCATGAATTTGGTTCTTTCTTTTTTTGGTATAAAGTACATTTCTTTCATAGGCTTGTATTAAAAATATAGTATGTGCTCTGACCCAGCTTTCACTGTTGGAAGGAATGAGTTTGTGGTTAGCTAGCACTTGGTATGGTAGGAGCAGAAACCGAGAGCCCTTTCCCTCTGCAACAGGCATGAGCACAGTCAAGATGCTGCAGTGGAGATTTCTTGGGAAAAAGTAGCAGGGCCTTGTTTGGCTCTGTTCGCCAAATTCCTTGTGCTCCCATTTTTCTACTTGCCCAGTGCCATTTGATGTTTGGCATGAACTTGTACATAAACCCTCATCTAGAATATTCATTGACCTTTTTTCTGAAGTATGTTAATGTTTGTTACTCCCTCAAAGGTTTTCTGATTAAGGTAAATTGAATAATAAGTATTTAAAGAGTGTTACAATAAAAAGTTAAGATTCCAGAAGAGGAATGTACTGAATTCTTTCTGTGTAATATTTACATGCTGTGCCAGGTATTGAGGGCACAGAGGTAGGTTAGACTGGCTCTCTACCCTCAAGATTATAGTCCTGGCTTAGAGGCCATTAGAGGTTGCCTGTGTGGTGGAGCTGGCCAAGGGAGAGGAGATCAGGCAGGAGAAGTCTTATCCAGAAAGTTCCGTCGAGTGCGGCAGAGCACCTAGGAGAATCTGATATTCAAGCTCTCTGTATCTACCTAGAACTAGAACTTGGATCTCAGCCCAGAATCAGGCAGCTAATTTTGTTCCCCTTAACTACCCCTAGATGGCTCAAATCAGTTTTAGAGTTATAGGTAGTTGTACAACAGGGTGCAGTTTGACAAGACATGAGCTGACGTAAACTGATTACAAAAATAAATAGCCAGAGTTTGTTTTACACAGAAAGTTTTACAGTTTTCTTTTCTTGGTTATCTACTGTGCTGTAGAAAAATGTACAAGCTTTCAAACTAGAGAAATTAGAATCAAATCTTACGTTGATTTTTTTTTTTACCAGTTAGCAGGACTTTAGGAAACATGATTTAATCTTTCTCTCATCATTCCCTCTGGAGAAATCTCTGTCTACTGATGGTTTGAGACATGTACATTAAGTACACGTGAAAAACTGTCTTTTCCTTTGGTGTCTCTCCAGTAGTCACTAGCTGTGGGCTAGTAGTGGGTCCCAGTCACCAAGTTCCAATCAGCAGCAATTTTCAGAGAGGATAATAAGTGTTGCCATTTGGTATTGTCTAACTGTTGCCTTAGATAATACTTCTAACATCTTGAGCATAAGCAAGATTTCTGAAGACTTCTGAGATCGTAAATAATGAGTATTTATTCTTTTTACAGATCTAGTACCTCAGCTGGAAGCTCCAAGTTCTCTCACACCCAGCAATGAACTGAGCAACCCAGGCCAAAGTGAGCTCTCTAACATAGATATAGCAGCTCTCTTCTCTGATGCATCTGCCAACAGTAGTAGTTCAGCAAGTGGGCCAGATGAGGCACTGAATTCTGGAATCCTAACCATTGATGTCACTTCTGTGAGCTCCTCGCTGGGAAAGAACCTCCCTGCTAACAATAACTCCTTAGGGCCCATGGACCCTCTGGTCTTGGTAGCCCACAGTGATATTCCTCCAAGTCTGGATAGCCCTCTGGTTCTTGGGACAGCAGCCACCGTTCTTCAGCCAGGCAACTTCAGTGTGGATGATGTGCAGGCTGTGAATCCAGGCACAGTAGGTTGTCTGGTGGCACTGCCTGTGAAGAACTTGAATCAGGACTCACCTGCTTTGACTTCCAGCAGTAACTTAGCAGCACATCTCACCACATCAAGCTCTTCAGGCACTTGCCAAGAAACTGCCAGTGCCCCAGAACTTATGACTTCAATCAAGGTGGAGCGAGACTCACCTCCTCTCCCAGATGTGGTTGAGCAGCCAGAGGGAAGCTTAGGGCCAGGCCCGTCTGTGTTCTCCAGCCCCACAGAGAGGCGTGGTCCCCAGAAGGACACAGAGCTCAGTGCAGGCACTGGCAACCTCTTTTTGGTATGAAGTAGTCTATTCAGTCACCACCATATAGCTCACTTCTCTTACACTCAGTTTTGAGGATATTCTGGATTAAGCTTTTCTATGCAGTTTCTTACTGGTTTGCGAAAGGATGGAACCCTGGACTACAAGTCTGAATCTGAATCCAGCCTTGAATCTTAGAACTGACGACAGTTCTTGCGACCTTGAGCAAATCACTTAACCTTTGAGCCTTAAATTCTCCATTATTTCTAAAATAAGGGGATTGGCCAGATGATTTCTAAGGTCCTTTTGACTTCTGTGACTGTAATGTGTTTAGTTTGTTGGAAAAACTTGGAGCGTTTCATAATACTGAAATATTTTGCCTTTGTGCTTTTCATATAATTACAAGTCCTAGAAGAGGAGGAATTGGCAGCATAAACTACCTTGGAAGGTTTTAATCAAAACTAAAACCATTTCAGAACATTTTTAAAAATTATAATTAAAGGGGGGAAAGGAAGTGGTTTATGATCCTTCATTCTTAAGGGGTAACAAAAATACTACAGTTTTGAGGCTGGGTAGTTTTACTTTAATTTACATCAATTATGCATTTATTATAATTTAATTTAAAATAATTGAAAGATTCCTGGAAGACAGTCTGATTTTCCTCAGTGTACAATGGGAATGATAATCTGCAAACGTGATTTTTTTTCTTTCCGACACAAGAAATTTGATGGAGACATTTATATTATTCACATGTTAAATCTTATTTTTTCACAGCTTATATGTGTTAAATCTTCTGAATTGGGATTAAGTGTGAGGGTACTAGGAAACGATCTACCATGGAGCCAACTTGCAGTTTTTTCAGCGTGAGAGGATAGTCTTTCTCCATGTCTGGTGTCTTGCTTGTCGTTGGCAGAGCCATGCTTGCTAGTATCTGTTTAGGCTGCCACAGCAGTGGCTAAGCAACTGGTGACTGGGCAGGGACAGATGGGAGGCAGATGTAAGTCAGAGCCAAGTGGAGTTAGTCCTTTGGCACTTGGTGCCTTGGGAAACAACAGTGTTTTTGTGCCTCACTGCATCTCCAGAGCCATAACTATGGGTGGAGGTGAAGGAGCCAGCAAGACCTCAGTCCTAACCCCCTGTTCATTTTCTTGCTAGCTGTGTGACGGGCTCCCTCACTTCTCTGAGTACAAATGGTGTGTGGTGAATGGGTTACAGGTATGCCATGAGCTGTAGAGAGTTACTTTCTGTAGTGATAAGTATTAAACTGTTTTTCATATGAAACATTCACAAATGTGCAACAGTTTACTCTTTGAATACTGTTCATTTGGCTCCCTCAGTAAACTTGCTGAATTCAGTAGCATATTTACTGTGCTGTCTGTAAGACTTGGGAGTGTAGCACCTGTTGCCAGCGTGGCCTCTGCAGTGAGCAGAGAAGGTAGCACTGCCCAAGACCTGCAGGGTGCGGACAGTATGGAAAACCTTTTGGCGTTGCTGTAGTGATGTAGTCCCGGGGATTCAGAAAGGGTAGTTGAGAAAGCAGGGAAATAGTTTATTTTGTACAGTTTCTGTATAAACTATTTCAGTGTTTTAGAATTTGGAGGATAAAGTCCTCCAGATAATAACATTTACATATTGTTCCAAATCTGATTTTGTTTAGTTAGCACTATAACTGGTTGTAGCATTTGGTTTTCTGTGTGCCTTTGCTGGATTACGGAATTCTAAAATGTTCCAGAAGTAGGCCTAGGACATTTCTGTAGTTCCCTTGCTACCCTTCCTTCACTCTTTAGATCAAGTGACTGACACACTTTTCTTTGGTCCCAGGAAAGTGGGGGCTCAGCAAGAACTGATTACCGAGCCATTCAACTAGCCAAGGAAAAAAAGCAGAAAGGAACTGGGAGCGATGCAGGTGAGGCCGAGTGTGCTGCAGTGCTGGTGAACAAGGGGCTGAGTTCTCCTATGTGACAGCCCCAGGCAAAGGAAGCACACAGAACAGCTATTTCTGTGTTCTTTGTTTTATTTTCATGTTCAGAATGCCCTTTAATCAACCCCTTAGTTTTATGTGAACTTCAGAAAAAGTAGTAGTAAAATTCCCTGCATATATAAACATGCTTTATTTAACTAGAAAAGGCTCAGTGCAAGTAAGAGGTTCAGACAGTTGTCAGTTACATGGAAAGCTACTATGGTAAATGAGCTTAGCAGGTGAGATACGAGAAAACATCAGGTGACTTGATGTTAAATGGCTCCTGGGCCTGACCTTGATGTAGTGGAGACCTTGGGGATGGGGCTGCCACTGTCTCCAAGGGCAGCGCTAGATGGAGCCAACTCTGTCCTGTACCACTGTGGCCTCCAGTTTAGAGTAATATTGAAATCTGGTATCAGTAGCGTATTTGAGTTTTTAAAATACACTGCATGGATCAACTAAGCCTGGCAGTTTATGGCCTTAATGTGTCTGTCCCCTTGAAAATGAAGTAGTAGGATATGATACTTAAAGGAAACTGGTAAATCCTTGTATGATATTAACTGAGGTTTTTCAATATGTTATTTTATATCAGTACTCTTTGATCTTTTACTTATTTAAAATTTATTTTTAAATAGGAATGTAGATTCAGCAATAAATTTTATCTTTATTACTCTTACTCTCTATTCTTAATAATACAGCTTCTTATTTAAAATAACTATTTTCTTTTAAGCAGTTTTTTTAAAACAAATATTCTCCTGTGAATGTTGTATATGTCAGTGTTGTGACTTAGGAAGGGACAACTCAGTAGTTCACAAAGAACTGACAGAGAAATTTCAGATACTGTATAACAGCAAGTGCGGTAGTGGAAGTCTAGAATTCACTACATATTAGGCGTAGTCCACTAAAGAAAGCAAATGCCTTTATTGAACCTATAAGATAGTCACTAACTTGAAGGAAAAATGCATATTGCAGACATTCAGCTACATAGTAATACAGTAATACCTCAGTTCACAAATGCTTCTGTTTGCAAATAATTCAGCTCCTAAACAAAAGCATTTGGCAAAACTCTGCACTGGATGACAAATTTCCCACACAAACAAAAATGCAGCCATCTTCCCCAAAATCACAAAACAAATTTAGTTTGTAAACCGAGGTACCACTGTACCTGTTACATTCATTGCAGTGCATGGGAATATTATCTGTAGAGATGGTTTGACTTTTTTTGTTGTTGTTTTATTTCCGGTACCGGGAATCGAACTCATGACCTTGCGCTTGCCAGGCACGTGCTGTGCCGCTGAGCTAAATCCCCAGCCCCTGGTTTGACTTTTTAAAGTACTGTTTATATAAGTGTTTTAACATTACCTTTAAAAAATAGGGACACTTTAAAAAATCTTAGTCATATATTATTTCACTTTAAAAAAATTAACAGTATTTCCTTAATATTCAGGTCTAGTAAATGTTCAGATTTTCACTCAAGCGTTTCAAATGTATTCTGCCTATTGGAATTAGAATCCAAGTAAAGGTCTTCTGTTGCTTTTGGTTGATGTATTTCTAAATCTGTTTTAAAGCTGTAAGTTCTCCCTTCATCTCTCCCATGTGTTTGTTGAAGCAGCTGTGTTGCTTGGTCTTTCCAATTTGCTGGTGTGACTTGCTCATTGCATCACTGTGGTGTAGATTAGCAGATTGCTCTACTTTTTTTGTTTCCTATGATTGGTAATTGTTTAGATTTGATCTGATTGGTTTTGGCAGGCAAAGGAGGGGTTGGAAAAACTCCCTTATAACTGGTATTAGGCAGTGGACTGTTTGTATCATTGAAAATTCTAAGTGGTTCTCCATCACTGTATTAGGCTCTTCTTGGAAGCCCCGAGCTCTAGTGTCCTGCCACTGGTGACGTGCAACTAGCTCCATTAATTCCTTGGGGATAGCAGAGAGATGCTACTCCAATTGTCATTCCTTTGTTGTTGTTGTTGTTGTTGCTGTCCGTTGTTGTTGTTGTTGCTGTCCTTTGCTGTTGTTGTTAAGTATTTTGTAAAAAGCAACACCTTAATTCTTTACTTTTGAGGCATAGTTTATATGAAAAAGTCAGGATGTTTGAATCTTTTTCCTTATTGGCTTTCAAACAAGATTTGGTTTCTTTATATCTCCAACAGTGATCAAAGTATTTTCTCATTAATTTAAATATAAATTTTTAAATAAAATAGAAAAGTGGTACCTGCCAGGGTTCTGTCCTTTGTATGAAAATATCCCTGTAAGAGTGAAGGCTTACCTTCTGCTACCTACCTATTCTTTAAAAGCCCTCTTGAAATAACTGTGTGCAATCAAGAGAGGAAAGAATTCACATAAAGGCCACAATCTCTTTTCTAATGCCTTGTGGCCAACTAATTTTCCCGTGATGTTTTATTTCCTATAATTTCACATTTACAGAAGACTTACTGCCATGAGTGGTGGTGTTCTTTGTATATCATTATACCTTTTTGTCCCCATCTGTGATACTCATTGTGCAACCTTCCCCTCTTGTAAGACTCTTCCATAGTCCTGCTGCATCTGTCAGAGCTAGAAGTTTCCATTGTCTCAGTGATTTGAGCTGATGACAGACTTGATTTGTGAGTAGGCACACTCCAGTCCCGTGTCCCAGGCTATCTAGGCTCCCACACATGTGCTGTTCTTAGGTCTCTATCTTCTGCAGCTCGTGTTAGAGTCATAACTCCTTGCTGTCTGTTATAATGTTCTTGAAGGGGACACGTCCTTCACTCAATGAGCCTTCTCTCCATGTAGTTCCATTTTCATGATTGGACTGGGGCTAAGGGTCTGTTGGAGCTAGAGGTGAGGGACCCTCTCTGCTATATCACTCTTAGGTACAGGCATGTTGACATTGATCACTGGCCTTTAAGGTGGTCCCTGCCAGCTTTCTGTGCTATAAATGTCTTTTTTTTTTTTAAGTCCTAAACTAGTAAATATCTTGAGGGTAGATACTTTGAAATTATGTGCAAAGTTCAGGAGTCCTAAACGTACACTTAGATTCAGTAATTCCCTAAAACTTGTAAAACTCACAAAAAGCTGTTGTTCTAAACTATTGTGTTTTACTGCAGTAAAAGGATATAGGTTAAAGCCAGGCCGGGAAAGAATGTAGGACAGAATCCCACAAGAATTTTGAGTTTGAAGCTTCCCAGTGTCTTCCTGAGGCAATGTAAACAGTGTAAACTTTTCCCAGCATATGACAGCGCACACAGCATTGCCAGCCAGGGGCAGTCACTCAAGGCTTGCTATCCAGAGTTGTTATTGAGACTCAGTTGTATAACTGGTTTATCTGAGTCTCCAGCCCCTCTAGAGGTTAAGCTGTCACTGTTGCAGTGCAAGGCTTTTACTGTGTGTAGCACTGTTAATGAAAAGCTGTCCAGACTGGCCCAAATCCCCCAGGGAAGCAAGCACACATTTATCAGGCAGGACATTCCAAGGGCTGGAGATCACCTCCAGGAGCCAGGGTAGGATTACTCCTTTATCATGCCCTGCAGATTCCTTGTTTCTCTTTAATCTTTGCAGTGATTTAACACCAGTGGATATTTTCCATGGTATTGTTACTGCATTGTTTGTGGTGATTTTCTGTTCCCTTCATTCTTAGGTGTTTATTCATCAGCATTCTTCTGTAAGGAGGAGCCTTCTCTTATCTCCCATTTATTCATTTCATGAATATCAATATGAACATAAAGGCGTTTCTTTTATTATTTACATTGTGATCACTGTTGTATCATAAGCCACACATGGTGGTACATACCTGTAATCCCAGGATTTTCAGAGTATGAGGCAGGAAGCTTGCAAATTCAAATCTAGCCTGGGCAGCTTAGTAGTAGAGCAAGACCCCATCTCTAAAACATAACCGAGGAGACTGGGTGTGCAAGCACATGCATATAAATCTCAGCACTCAGGATGCTGGTGCAGGAAGATCACTGTGAGTTCAAAGGCAGCCTGGACTACATAAGGAGATCCTATCTCCATAAATAAATGGAGCTGGAGATACAGCTCAGTTTGATCTCAGTAATACCAAAATAAATAAATTTTAAAATTGACTTTTGAACAATATTAACATTTTGTTGATCTAAGTGTTGTAGCTTTGGCCATTGGGAGCTGCAGTTAGATTCTTATGCCTTTCAACATACATTATCCTGGCTTTTTGAAATACTTCCTTACTTTCTGACACCCCTAGATTCATCTTGTATTATCCCTGCTCTAGCTCTGGAATCTGTAACTTTTCTACAGTCTTGGTTCTTCTCTTTTTTTTTTTTTGAGAATGGTATTCAGATGCAAGTGTAAATGCAGGATGTGCTTATTGCAACCAGGATATCTTGGCTAGACTTTCTCAGTGGCCAGTGCTGGGAAGTATACTTATGTATATTAACCTACACTAGCTGTATTTTGAATTCAGAATATTTGCAGTTTTAGAAAGGTAATATAGTACATATACTACATGTCATTTAATACCCCTCATTACTCTGTGGGTACTTTTCAGTAAAATATATTCATCTAAGTGGAATTGAATAAGACTATAAATAGTATCACATCAGTTCAGGTCTGGTTTTGCTGCAGAATTATTTTTGGCACCAGGTTTTGGTGAAATTTTTAGGTTTTGGAACTGTTTGGATTTTAAGAATTGATTAAGAGATTGTGAACTTGTAATAAATCCAGCAGTGGAGAAGTCACAGTGTAACAGGACTGTTGGTAAAATTAAGTCATTTAAACATGGGCAAGACATCATTGTAAATATAGATGTGAGCAAAGTATAAGTTAATCCTTAGGAAATATGCAGTCTGAAATGATGGGCTCTAAAATCCAATGTGTTTCCTGTTGTTTTGCTGTTGAATGTAGAAATATAAAACTGGTGCTGATTTCTCTTAGACACTGAGTTTCTCCCATCAGAATAATCCAAGAATTTTATCACAGTATGATAATAT